GGGAAAATAGATTTTAAAGGTGCTTAGCACTTCACTTCCCCCTGAAAGCTAAGTGGGGGCAAGGAATGGGGGAGTGTGAATCTCCTTCTCCTTTTACTTTTTCCTGCAGGAAGAAGCGAGAGACCATTCTAAGAGAGGGGGAAAGGGAAAGGAGAGACAGGAGAGGCAGTGAGAAGGAGAGAGTCTGGGGGAGGTAGAGTTTAGCACAAGGCACCCTCATGTACACATCCCTATATGGGACAGATACTGGCACCCTGCTGTGCCACTCAAAGTGATTCCTATCAGTCGGATTCCCACCTGTAATCATTCTGTGAAGGGTGCTTTATCTCTGATTCACAGAGGAAGAATAGAAGTCCAAGGATGTGGAGTGACTTTGCTGAAGTTACATAGTAAGTTGGTGCTGGAACCTGGACAAGACTCAAACCTTCTTATCCCTAGTTCAATTTTCTGGATGGAAAAGGAAGTTGTAACCCCTTCTTCCTTTCAGCTCCTGTTCTGTTTCCAAAAGTGGAAGGGGACAAACCCTTCCCAATCTACTCCCCTGGCACCACCTGAGATAGGAGATGGAGGGAAAGGCTGGCCCTGGCACCTCTCATTAGTTCCCACTTGCATCGCCTGTTGTTCACCTGCAAGCATAGAAAGGGCTGTGGCTGAACTCTCGCTCAGTGAGATAGTTTATTGTAACCCCCAGTGTCTTCCCAGAAAACCCCAAATCTTCTCATCTCTCATTTCATCTCTCACAATCCCTTCTATTCACTTGAGACCCTGTATATGATGTTTTCTTATTATGAACTCTAATAATCCCAGTAACAAACTCTGCCGCAATGGCAACAGAAACAGCAGGCCTGCCCACAGATCCCAGTGTACTACAGGCCCTCTGGAAATGCGACTGCATATAATCTGGGCCCTTGAGCTCAGCAGACTTTGAGTCCCTCAGTGCATGTCTAACTTTACCAGTGTTGAACCCCCTTTAGGATGCTTCCTTCAGGATGCTTCTTTTTCCCCTGCCAGAAATGAGAGGTTTTGTGTTTCCATATGACTAGCATTTCTCTGTTTCTCTCTGTGGGCATTCCTTTGACCATTGATACTCTCATACTCCTGCTCTTAGCTCAGGGGCTCCATGTCAGTAAAAATGAAAGCCCAGCCCCTTATGGTGAGCTTTCTTTGGGTGAAGAGCAACCAGACACAGTGAAGCTTGAGAACAGACCTCCCCTAGTTGGGAGGGACAGATTTGTAATAGACCAGCTTCACGTCTGAGAATCACCCCAGTCCCTTCTCCTAAAGGTCTCTTTCCTGATGAAGATCACCTGAGGATGATACCCACCTTGGATGGTTGTTGAGAAGATGAAATGGAAGGCAAATACCAAGTATCTGGAGTTCTTTATGACACATAGCAGATGATCAGTAAGTGTGAGCTCATTGCCACCTGTCTTTTTGCTTTTGAGTCCCAGATCCTGTAGAGCCAGGCAGGCGGGAAGATTGCCAAGGGAGCCCAGAGCTGGTCCCTTACCCCTTTCCTGGGCTCCTCTCCCCAAAAGCCCTGTCTCGACTATACCCACAGCACTGACTGGGAAGAGGGGAGTGACAGAGTACATCCCAGGTCTGAGTTGGGGATCTCAGGGATGGGATAAGGGTGGGGACAGGTATTTCCTAGGGAAGGTGCTGAGGGCTTTATATTTATATGTCTATATTTATTAAACATGTTTTCTTGAATAATTTAGTAATTTCCTAGAAACGTTTACATGTTGGAAGTTGTTTTACATGAATATTGTGGGTATGACCCTACTTTGGCCTCCTTGCTATCCTAAGGAGGTGGTTGAAGGTTCTCTGGCCCACTGCTCTGAAAGCCAGCCCAAACACATGCTACCTTCTCATTATTTCTTTTCTTGGACCTGTATTGTTGCAAGAGAATTGTTCAATGTTTTACCAATAGCATTAATGTGTGAGAGACATTGCTGTGTCTTTCAACACTTCTCTGATCATTATATTGTTTATTTTTGTCCTAATGATGATTGGAATAGTTCCTTTAGGTTAAAAAGTGAGAAAAAATGTTGAAGAGAGAAAACAAGCTTAAGAATGTTTTGAGATTCTAATCTGAATATTGTCAAGGACTATTTAGTGTTCTCATTACAGAAAATTGACATTTATTCAAGTTCTTTTTTAAAATTTTTTTAATGTTAATTATTTTTGAGAGAAAGAGCACGAGTGGGGGAGGAGAATACAGAGAGGGAGACATAGAATCTGAAGCAGGTCCCAGGCTCCGAGCTGTCAGCACAGAGCCCGACACGGGGCCTGAACCCACAAGCCGCAAGATCATGACCTGAGCCAAAACCAGACACTCAACCTACTAAGCCATCCAGGCACCCATTTTTTTTTTTAATTTTGTTGATATTTTATTTTTGAGAGAGAGGGAGAGAGAACAATTGTGAGCAGGGGAGGGGCAGAGAGGGAGGGGGACACCGAATCCTAAGCAGGCTCCAGGCTCTGAGCTGTCAGCACAGAGCACAACAGGGGTTTGAACTCACAAGCCATGAGATCATGACCTGAGCCAAAGTCTGACGCTCAACCGATTGAGCCACCCAGGCACCCCTCAAATTCTTCTTAATGTCAGGACTAAAACTTTATGTTTGTGTTCTCATAGATCATACTAACTTTTTAATGACTCTATTTATTTTTTTCCCCTAGTGAATAAGATCTAATTTGAAAAATCTATTTATCATTGTCATAAATAATCGATGCCATAAAATATTTACCCAAGATATGCTGTTAAAAAGAAAACCACAGGCCCAAAGTGGAGTCATTTATGCCAGACCACCGGGGCTTAAATCCTAACCTAATTGCAGTTTCAACTTCCCCCAGAAATGTAGTCTTAGCCAGTCAGTCAGGACTTTTCTGGTCAGCAACAGTAAGGTAATCTGTCACATAGGCCCTCTCTATTCCCCAAAAGAAGATGAGGTAATCCACCCAATAAGACTCTTTTGTTCCCAAAGGAAGGTACCTCACCCAAAATAATTTTTTTTTTCTGTTTATGACTTTGTTGTTCTGCCTTTAATAACATTTCATTTTCTGTAGCCCTTTGGAATTCCCCTCTATTTGCTAGATGGGGTGCTGTCTGATTCATGAATCAATTAATGAATCAATTTTACATCTTTAAAATGTAGTTGGTTGAATTTTTGTTATTTAACACCCAAAATACTTAGAAGTAGGTGTAACTTAGTAAAAACAAAGTTCCTATAATATAATGACCATATGTCCCTAATTCGGTAATAAGAGAATGCTCACATGATTTAAGTAGTCATTTCTGGGATGTGAATAATTTGCATGATAACCATTTTCTTATTTTGGGTTGTGTATATTTGTATGTATTATGTACTTTTGAAAAATTTATTTTTTTTCTTTCTTTCCTGAGTAAGCCCTGCAGATTACAGATACCATTCTTTTGTATGTTAAAGATAAAGCTATTAAACAACAGATTTTAGTTGGTAAACTGGTAATATCCAATTGCGACAGGGAATAGATTCCAGCGTGAACTGAACTCAACTTCAGTTTGTACAGAGGTAACTGGGAGTTTGAAAGGAAGAAGGAGGGAACAGAAAGGGGGCGAGTTGGAGCTCAGTAGAATGAGGGAAGTGAAAAATTACAAAAAAGCAGAAGGAAGAATTGGTCCATTTGAAATCTACCTGGATTTGCTAACTGGCACTTGTTGAAATTAGGCTCTTACCCTCCTACAGAGACTGAGAGACAGGGGTCCTTCAGGTGTTGGCTGGAACAAATTCTTTTGGCAGCCTTGAGTTTTTCAGGCAGGCCCTCTAAAAACACTCTTAGTATCATCCTAAGTATGTGACCTTGAGCTGTTAGAGACTTAGAATTTTTTCAAGTATTTATAGGGCAAAGTTGATAGACCTAGTTGAAAAGAAGGCATAAAGGAGCCTAACTGGAATTTGGGGTAAAGGAGAAAATCTTTTAAATTTAGTACTACTGTGCTTCATTTTAAATTATTTTACTTAGGGGCGCCTGGGTGGCGCAGTCGGTTAAGCGGCCGACTCCAGCCAGGTCACGATCTCGCGGTCCCTGAGTTCGAGCCCCGCGTCGGGCTCTGGGCTGATGGCTCAGAGCCTGGAGCCTGTTTCCGATTCTGTGTCTCCCTCTCTCTCTGTCCCTCCCCCATTCATGCTCTGTCTCTCTCTGTCCCAAAAATAAATAAACGTTGAAAAAAAAATAAAATAAATTATTTTACTTAAGTTTCACAGCCTTATTCCCAAGAGATACCTCTACAAATCTAAATTCTCTTGGCAGCTTTAAATATTATTTTATTATTTTATTTTTATTAAAATTAAAAAAATATTTTGAGAGAGCTCGTTTTCCTGTGATCTCAATTATTTTTACACCTAAGAGCAACCCAGTGCCTATTCAGATTTCCTCGACAGTCTCCAAAGCCTTTGGCAGCTGTTGTTTATTTAATCGGGATTTGATCGAGGACCACGTATTGTATTTGGCGGTAAACTTCAAGTTTAAGCCCTAACGTTTGGCGATTCTGAGAAAACCTGGGAAGGAGAGATCGTCAAGATCACATCTTTCAACTGTTCAGATAGAGGATACGCGCCAGGTCACTTCAAGGCGCGGGAGCGGAGCTTTACCGGAAATGTAGTCTGGTGGTATGGACCTGGCTCGTCGCGCAGCATCCTGGGAACCGGTCCGGGCTCCATCTGCGCATGTACTTACCTTATCCCACCTCTTTGCGTTAGTGCTTTCCGCGGTCCGGTGGTCAGGTGGCGCGCTTGCCTGGGTTCCAACCTCAAGTGAGAGCATGGGGCTGATGCGAAATCTGGGAGGCTTTGGGACCAGCATGGAGGAAGGGGCTTGTGGCCGGGGAGAAAGGAATAGAAGCCTCGGGAATTCCCCAGGCCGGACTCTAAATGCTTGAGCCATCAAAGACCTCTGGGGGACCCCTGGGGCACAGGTGGGGCTGAATCACGCCAGAAGCAGGTGAGGGGTTGGGTATGCAGAGACCCTCGATTCGAGAAAAGCCCATGGCGGCGGGAAGGGAAAACTTGTTTATAATTCCCACCGTGAGCCCGAAAGCGCGGAAGAGCTTTCTGCGGTGAGAACCCGATTTCTGGAGCTAGAAAGACCCGGGGTAAATTCCAGTTCTGTTACCCTTGTAGGCAGGGGCGGCCGAAGGAACCAGAGTAAGAGTCCGGTTTCTCTTCTGAAAATAATGTTTGTTATGCGAGTTAGAGAAGTTATTACCTGTAAAGCAAATAGCCAACTCAGAAGTGGCAACTGCTATTATATTCGGAAGACACACTTCTATTCACTGGGTGGCTTATGTAAACATCACAACCATTTTATGAGGTTGGCTAACTATCCACATTTAAAAAAGGAAAGGAAGCAAACGAGGCTGAGGTTGGCAGAGCCATGTGCTCAGGTGACAAGCTAGCTGTGAGGAAGCTCTGATTTAAGGGCATGTGTGCTTTAAATTTCAGGCCTCGTCTAAATATCACACCTGCCTAAAACCACCAATGCAGCCTTCACAGCACCTAGCAGAGTGACCTGTCCCTGAACACCCAGGGATAAAATTGAAAGAGAATGTGAATGGACTTAGAACATTGTCATATGTAGTCTGGAATTTCTGGTACCTCATCAGAATCCTTGGTTCAGATAGAGGCTCCTAGCTTTTCCTGCAGTGGCAGATTGTCTTAAATCACAGTGAATTCCAAGAGTCAAGTTTGTAGCCCTAAAGTGAATTTGTTTCCCTGACCCAGGTCCCAGATCTTGGGAAACAAATTTATTTTAGAACAAAGTAGCTCTTGTGATGTTCGAATTGAGGTCTCCAGGAACAGCATCCCTGTTCTTATCCTCCTCGCTAGACCTTCAGAGCAGAAGCAAAAAACAGAGCTGTCAGAAGTAGTTCTTGATCCTCCCTGCTCAGATTTGGAGATGTTGCCACATCCAGAAGCCACCACACTGTGTGATGGTGGGGGATCTGGGCCACCTTTGAGAAGAGGGAGCTGGGGTGGCCCAGAAGTATGTTGCCCAGGAACTTGCACTTGTGAGGGTGAGATCTGGGGGTAAGGGGTAACCAGCCAGAGGGTGGAAATTGTGTTCTGTTGTCAAAACTTAAAAATAGCCAGTTATTTTACCAGCAAATTGAGTTTATTTGGGAATAGCAGAGGAATTGCAATGGGGGACAAGCAAACTATGGCAAACCATAGGCGAGTCCAAAGAGACAAAGGGAAGGTAAACTTTCACTAGGTTTTGGGAGGAAAATGGGGAGGGTTTGGAATAAAAGTCCATTGGAAAAGAACAAGAGTTTGCGGTTGTGGCATTTACTGGCTGCAAGCAGTGGTTAGTACCTATTTGCTGGGTTGGGGAGGGATCTTCCGTCTTTTTCTTAAAAGTAGGAAATCGAATTCCTGTGTGCAAAGTAAGATGATTCTTAACCTTGTTCCTGCAGGACAAGGAGCATGTGTGAGAGCTCCCCATTCAGGGCTTCCTGACTCCCATTTTAAATGAGGTTTCCTGCGTTTGTTTTGATACCACTCCTGCTAAAAGGCCGTCATTCCCTTCATTCTTCACTGTTTACGGATGCTGCACTGCTCTCATACGTGTCCTTCACAAGTGACCATCACCACAAGTAACAATATTGACTTATCTTGAACTCATAGAATCCTAAAATAAGGACTAATGAAGGCTTTCCTTGGTTATCTGCTACAGACTCTTAGAAGCTGTAAAGAAATTGGATGTTAGTGGTGACTTGTCAGGTGACACCTATTTTGTGGCAGAGCCAGGAGGAAAACACAGTGCAGTTCACTTTCTCACTGGTAAGTCATCAAAAGCATCTTATGAAAAGGACCCTTTGAGAAACTGTAACCCAGTGAAAGTTAATGAAAAATTCTTGCCTTAAAGCATTCCATAGTCCTTTTATTGGGCTTTCTGTGGATTTTCTCTTTTAAGAGCTAAGCAATGTTACTAGGAAAATAGTTAAGTGACACAGCCTGAATATTTTGTTAATTTTAATGAAGGAGCAATGCCTTATCCTTCATGTACTTTATGCATTAAATGAATACTAGTTCTTGCTTGTGTTGTTTCTGTTAATCATTCAGAAAAAAAAAAAAAACCCACTAAGTTATCATTTAACCGCAGAAAAATTTGTTTAGCCAGTGAAAAGCTGTAGGTCTTAGGCCACATGACGTTTTCTGAGTCTTACATGGACATGTGTCTCTGCGCGTTCCTCCCCAGGCCTCCCAGCTGAGTCTGCACAGCCCTCTGCACTTTCCCAAGAGCAGCAGCATGAACGCATCTCAGGTGAGCTCTTTCTCCTTTCTTTCTCCACATTGCACTGTATTGATTTTATTTTATTTACTTATTTATTTATTAAAAATTTTTAATGTTTATTTATTTTTGAGATGGAAACAGAGCATGAATGGGGGAGGGGCAGAGAGAGAGACACACACACAGAATCTGAAACAGGCTCCAGGCTCTGAGCTGTCAGCACAGAGCCCGACGTGGGGCTCGAACCCACCAACCGTGAGATCATGACCCGAGATGAAGTCAGACGCTTAACCTACTGAGTCACCCAGGTGCCCCGGCACTGTATTGATTTTAATGGGGCTTATAAGGGTCTGTACATTAGATGGAAAAAGAGAAATAGGGATAAAGCTAGTTTTGGGAGAAAATACACAGTTTCAATATTAGCTCTTAATGTTTTTTGTTGGTTCTGGGTAGGTAACCTTTGTTGATGATTATATTCCCTCCAGTTACCAGTTGGGTTAGATTTCAGTTGAGTCATGAATGTGTTTTGAATTATATTGAGAACTTGTTCTATATCTATTGAAATAAAGACATAGCTTGTTTCCTTTAATCTGTAAGTATTGTGAATAGCATTATGAATTTTTAAATATTGTCGATTTCCTGTATACACCCTTGCTGGTGAATTGCTTGTATACATGTTGGCTGTGATCTTTCTGCTGGTACTTATTTCTGTATCGTAATTTAGGTGAGCCTAATTTTTCATGTGTTCCTATCCAATTTTGGTGTTGTGGTTATATTAGCCTATAAGTATAGGACACATTTTTACTTATTTTTTTTCTTGGGCTAATGTTTTTCCCCCTGTATTTTATATGAGAAAAATTGCCTGTTATTGGTGGGGGGATTTTTATGTGAAGATTTTGAATATCAAATCAGTTTATTAAATGATCATAAGTCTCCTGTGTCTCTTACCATGTGTCTTTCAAAGAGCAGAAGTGTTTTAATCAACTTTTCAAAATCTTTAATCTTTTTGCTTTTAATTATTTATACTTTTTTTGGTCTTGGTCATATGTAAAAAATCTTTTCCTAAGCCAAAGTCACAAAGATTTCCTCTCCGGTTTCTAGAAGTTTTATAGGTCTATGATCATTTTGAATTCATTTTTTCTTATGGCACAACATTTTTCTTATGGCACAACAACAAATGTTGTTGTTGTTGTTGTTGTTGCAAATGTTGTTTACGTATGTCTAACATTTGTTGCAAAGAATACTCCTTCTCCACTGAATTCCTTTGGCACCTCTTTTGGGAGTTATTTGACTTTATATTCTTTGTGGTTCTGTTTCTGGAATCCGTATTCTCTTCTTATCTGTGTTAGTCCTTTTGCTAACATCATACTGCCTAGATTACTGTTGTTTCAAGAGAAGTTTTTTGTTTTTTTTTTTTAATTTTTCAATGTTTATTTTTGAGAGAGAGACACACACAGTGTGAGCAGGGGAGGGGCAAAAAGAGAGACAGAAACAGAATCTGAAGCAGGCTCAGGCTCTGAGCTGTCAGCACTGAGCCTGACACAGGGCTCAAACTCATGAACCATGAGATCATGAATCATGAGACCTGAGCTGAAGTTGGATGCTTAACCAACTGAACCACCCAGGCACCCTTAAGATAAGTCTTGAAATCAGTAATGTGAATCCCCCAAACTTTTTTCATAATTGATTGGATATTGGATATTCTAAGTCCCCCTTTACCTCTTCATATAAGTTTTAGAATCTGGCTTCTTTCTGTCTTCAAAATTTGCTCTGATTATGTGTGTGATTGCAGTGATTATATACATCAGTTTTAGACCTCCCTTTTGTGTTTCAAAATCATGTAACCAACAATGCAGTATAAAATTCCATCTGTGTATTATTCACATATATATATATGTGTGTGTATATATATATATATGTACATATACATATATACATATATATGTATATATGTATATGTATGTATTAAATTTACATCCAAGCTAGCATATAGTGCAACAATGATTTCAGGAGTAGATTCCTTAATGCCCCTTACGCATTTAGCCCATCCCCTCCCACAACCCCTCCAGTAACCCTCTGTTCGCTGTATTTAAGAGTGTCTTATGTTTTAATGTTTACTTATTTTTGAGAGAGACAGAGACAGAATGCAAGTGTGGGTTAGGGGCAGAGAGAGAGGGAGACACAGAATCCAAAGCAGGCTCCAGGCTCTCAGCTGTCAGCACAGAGCCCGACCCAGGGCTCGAACCCACAAGTCGTGAGACCATGACCTGAGCCGAAGTCGGACACTCAATAGACTGAGCCACCCAGGTGCCCCTAGAGTCTTTTATGTTTTGTAACCCTCCCTGTTTTTATATTATTTTCACTTCCCTTCCCTTATGTTCATCTGTTTTGTATCTTAAAGTCCTCATATGAGTGAGGTCATATGATATTTGTCTTTCTCTGCCTAATTTTGCTTAGCATAATTCTAGTGTAAGATAATGATAGGGCCATAATAGGCATACTTTATAAAATTTTGTTTTAAATTCTCAACAGTAAACATAATACGTATTAGTTTTCCAAGGCATTTTCCATATTACCGGTTTTTGAGCCCCTCAGATTGAATAGAAAGTGTGTTATTACAGGTATCAGTGTCATTCAAGGACGTGACTGTGGAGGTCACCCAGGAGGAGTGGCACCAGATGGACCCTGCTCAAAGAACCCTATACAGAGATGTGATGCTGGAGAACTACAGCCACCTGGTCTCATTGGGTGAGCAGAACTTACCATGTGATTTCCTCAAGAATGCAATTCCGTTTTCTCCTTCCTTTTTAATTTTTAAATTGTATTGGGGTATAATTAACAGAGTTAAAGTCAGTAACTTTAAGTGTATAATTGTGAGTTTTAGAGATGCCTGTAGGTGATTACTACCACCAAATAATGATAAAATATTGCTGTTATTCCAAAAAGTTTCCTTGTAGGTATTTGTAGTCATTTTTTCCTGATCCCTCTCCCTGGCTCTGTCAACCAGTGATCTACTTTCTATCGCAATAGTTTTTCCCTGTTAGAATTTTAAATACATCATATAGTATTTACTTTTTTCTTCTTTCATGTAGATTTTGGGATTTATGCATGTTTTTGTACATATCATTTTTTATTCCTAACTAGTATGCCTTTGCATGCATCTACCACAGTTTATCTTCCACGTATATCCCAGTTGATAGAATAGAGGTTTTTTCCTTTTAGGCTGTTAGGAATAAAGTTGCTCTGTCCATTTAGATATGAGTCTTTGTGTAGACATTTGTTTTCATTTCTCCTGTGTGAATACCCAGAAGTATGGTACTATTGGTCTTAGAGTAACTTCATAAGAAACTGCCAGATATTTCTAGTGTGACTGTGCCAGTTGGCATACCCTTTAAGGGTGTATGTATCATAGTTCTAGTTGCTCCACACCCTCACCAACATTTGGTATTGTAAGTTTTTTTTTTTTTTTTTATTTAAGATTCTAGTGGGTGTCTTTGTATCTTACTGGGTTTTAATTTGTATTTTTCTGATAGTTAATGAAGTTGAACATCTTTTAATGGGCTTTGTGGCTATTCATATATTTTCCTTTTTCAGGTCTGTTTAAATCTTTAGCCCATTCTTTAAAAATTAGGGTGTTTCTTTTTTTCTTTTTGGTCTTAACTGAGGTGGAAGAATTCTTCATGTAATCTAGATATAAGACCATTATCAGATAAATACTTTGTTAACGTTTTCTACCTATCGTATGCTTTTTCTAATTTTTTAAATAGTGTCTTGGAAGAGCAGAGTTTTTCATTAGTTTTTAAATGTATCATTGGTTTTTCTTTTATATTTTATGGTTTTTGTATCTTTTTAAAGAAAGTTTTACCTAATCTAAGGTCAGTAAAATTTCCTCCTGTGTTTTCTTGTTTCCTCCTATGTTTTCTTCCTCCTATGTTTTCTTTACTTTCTCCATATGATGTGAAATAAGAGTTGTGGTTCATTTTTTGCATTTCTATGTCTAGTTATGTTGACACCATTTTCTGGAAGATTACTTTTCCATTGAACTGCCTTGGCACCTTTGTCAAAGACAAATTGACCACATTTCTGTAGTTCTAGATCTGGAGTCTGTTCTGTTTAATGGGTCTGTTTGAATATAACACACCTTGATTATGTAGCTTTGTGAAAACTTACCAAATATTGAATATTTAGTTCTCCAAATTTGTTTTTCATTTCAAAATTATTTGGATTATTGTACATTCTTTGTTGTTTCCATGTAAATTGTATTTTTCTTAAGTTTATTTATTTTGGGGGGAGAGCAGGGGGAGAGGCAGAGTAGGTGGAGGTGGGGAGGAGAGAGAAAGAATGAATCCCAAGCAAGCTCCACGCTGTCAGTGCAGAGCCCAACAAGGGGCTTGATCCCAGGAACTGTGAGATTATGACCTGAGCTGAAATCAAGAGTCAGATGCTTAACCAACTAAGGCACCCAGGCACCCCTCCATATAAATTTTAGAATTTCCTGTCCATTTTTTCTAAAACTTTGCTTAAAATTCTGGTTGAGATAGTCTTGGGTCTTTAGGATAGTCTGGGAAGGATTTATATTTTAACAATATGGAGTCTTTAGGAGCGCCTGGGTGGCCCAGTAGGTTAAGTGTCTGGCTCTTGATTTCAGCTCAGGTCATGATTTCATGGTTCGTGAGACTGAGCCCTGCATCGGGTTCTTCACTGACAGCATGGAGCCTACTTGGGTTTTTCTCTCTCTGCCCCTTCCCCACTTTCTCGCTCTGTCAAAATAAATAAACATTTAAAAAAATTCTATAAAAAAAGACATAAAACAATATTGAGTTTTTTGATACCGTGGGTTCAGTTCCAGACCATTGAAACAAAGTGAGTATTGAAATAATTTGAGTCCAAATAATTAGATTGATTTTTTTCAAATTCAGAATGAATTTTTTGGTTTCCCAGTGCATATAAAAGTTTACGTTCACATTATGCTATAATTTATTAAGTGTGCAGTAGCATTAGGTCCAAAAACAATGCACATACTTTTATTAAAAAATACTTAATTGCTAAAAATCACTAGCCATCATCTGAGCTTTTTGCCTGTGGTGAGTCTTGCCTTGATATCGATGGCTGTTGACTGGTCAGGGTGATTGGTAGTGAAGGTGGGGGTGGCTGTGGCAATTTCTTAAAATAATGCAACAATGAAGTTTGCCACATTGATTGATTCTTCCTTTCATGAATGATTCCCTGTAGTATGTGATGCAGTCTGATAGCATTTTTACCCATCATAGAACTTTTTTCAAAATTAGAGTCCATCCTCTCAAACCCTGCTGCTGCTTATCAACAAAGTTTATGTAATATTCTAATTTTTTTTCATGCTAACAATTTTCACAGTATCTTCACTGGGAATAGATTCCATCTCAAGAAACCACTGTCTTTGCTAATCCATAAGAAGCAATTCCTCATTGTTCAAACAATTCAGTCACATCTTCAGGCTCCACTTCTAATCCCAGTTCTCTTGCTGTTTCTACCACATATGCAGTGACTTCCTCCACTGAAGTCCTGAACCCCGCAAAGTCATCCATAAGAGTTGGAATGAAATTCTTCCAGACACTTCTGCTAGCTTCAAATTTTTATTCTGCAGCTTCCTTACCTTTTTCAGGTTTCATAGAATTGAAGAGAGTTAGGGCTTTGCCCTTGATTAAGCTTTGGCTTAAAGGAATGTTGTACCTGATTTGATGATCTATCCAGACCACTCAAACTTTTTCCATATCAGCAATAAGGTGGTTTCACTTTCTGATCATTCATTTTGTTTGCTGGAGTCTCACTTTTCATTTCTTTCAAAAACTTTCCCTCTGCATTTGTAACTTGGCCAACTGTTGGTCACAAAAGGCCCAGCTTTCAGCTTATCTCAGCTTTTGATTTGCCTTCCCCACTAAGTTTAATCTTTCCTTGCTTTTGATTTAAAATGAGAGATGTGCAACTCCTCCCTTTACTTGAGCACTTAGAAGCCATTGTAGAGTTATTAATTGGCCTAATTTTAATATTGTTGTGTCTCAGGGAATAAGGAGGCCTGAAGAGAGAGAAAGAGATGGGGAATGGCCAGGTAGTAGAGCAGTCACAATGCACATTTATGGAATAAGTTCTCCATTTTACATGGTTGTGGTGCTCCCAAACAATTAGAATAGTAACATCAAAGATCATTGATCACACAATCGCAGTTACAAATATAATAATAATGAATGAAAAAATTTGAAATATTGTGAGAATTACCAAAGTGTGACACAGAGACGTGGAGTGAGCAAATGCTATTGAAAAAAATTGTGTCAATAGAGTTGCCTGATGCAGGGTTGCCACAGATCTTCAATTTGTAAAAATTTCAGTATCTGCAAAGCATAATAAGCGAGGTATGCCTGTATCTTTCCCTTTATTTACGCCTTTAATTTTTTTTGGAGTGACAGATAGCTTTCATTGTACTTGTTTTCTGCATATTTGGTAGATGGGTTTCATGATTTTGATGATGATATAAATGGCATTTATTTTATAATTTGGTTTTCCAGTTGTTGGATGTAAATAGAAATCCAGTTGCTTTATGTATATTTATATTGTGTGTTGTAACTTTGCTAATCTTATTTATTCCAGTAGATTTTTTGGAGATTCCCAAGGATGTTTTACATACACAATTATGTTATCTGTGAAAAAGGATAAGTTCATTTTGAAACTGTATGCCTTTTATTTCTTTTTCTTTAATAACTATGGGATTACCAAATATACCATTAAATACAAGTGGTGAGAGAAGATATTCATGTCTTGTTTCTAATCTTAGAGGTAAAGAATTCATTCTTCATTGTGGCATAATTAACTGTTTTTTTTATAGCTGTGCTTTATCAGTTTAAGGAAGTTCTGTAGTCTGCTGGAATTTTCTAAAAGATTTGTTTTAATCATTGTGGAATTTGTCTAATATTCTTTCTGTATCTATTAGAATAATCACATGAGTTTTCTTTTTTTATCCAGGTAGTATTCTGAATTACATAAATTTTGGAACGTTCAACCAACCTTGAATTCCTAGGATGAATCCCACTTGTTCATAACTTTTTATAGGTTTTCTGCACCAGTATATTGAAATTTTTAAAAAATTGTAGTTCCATATAGTTACAGTTACGTTAGTTTCCAGTGTACAATATACTGATTCAGCAATTCCATGAATCATCCATTGCTCGTCATTACAGATGAACTTCTTAATCCCCTTCACCTTTTTCACCCATATACCTACCGACCTCCCTTCTGGTAACCATCAGTTTGTTCTCTACAGTTAAGGGTAGTTTGTCTTGGTTTGTCTCTTTTTTTTGTTTTGTTTTTTAAATTCTGCATATGAGCGAAATCATGTGGTATTTGTCTTTCTTTGACTTATTTTGCTTCACGTTATACACTAACTCCATCCATGTCATTGTAAATGGCAAGATTTCATTTTTTTTAAGCCTGATTAATATTGCATCATGCATATATACCACATCTTGTCCATCTGTCAGTGAACACTTGGGCTGTTTCCATAATTTGGCTATTGTAAATAATGCTGCTATAAAGGGATGCATGTGTTCTTCTGAATTAGTGTTTTAATATTTTTGTTTTGAGAGAGGGAGGGAGAGTGTGAGTGGAGGAGGGTAGAGGAAGAGGGACAGAATCTTAAGCAGACTCCACACCCAGTGGAGGGAGAGATAATGACCTGAGCCAAAATCAAGAGTCTGACGCTCAACTGACTGAGCCACCCA